CAATATCATGAAAATGGCCATACTGCCCAAAGTAATTTACAGATTCAATGCTATCCCCATCAAGCTACCAATGACATTCTTCACAGAATTGGAAAAAAACAGCTTAAATTTCATATGGAACCAAAAGACAGCCCACATAGCCAAGTCAATTCTATGCAAAAAGAACACAGCTGGAGGCATCACACTACCGGACTTCAAACTATACTACAAGGCTAGAGTAATCAAAACAGCATGGTACTGGTACCAAAACAGAGCTATAGATCAATGGAACAGAACAGTCTCGGAGGCAACGCCACACATCTACAACCATCTGATCTTTGACAAACCTCACAAAAACAAGCAATGGGAAAAGGAGCCCCTGTTTAATAAATGGTGTTGGGAAAACTAGCTGGCCATGTGCAGAAAGCAGAAACTGGACCCCTTCCTGACACCTTACACTAAAATTAACTCTAGGTGGATTAAAAACTTAAACATAAGACCTAACACCATAAAAACCCTAGAAGAAAACCTAGGCAAAACCATTCAGGACAGAGGCATAGGCAAGGACTTCATGACTAAAACACCAAAAGCATTGGCGACAAAAGCCAAAATAGACAAATGGGACCTAATCAAACTCCACAGCTTCTGCACAGCAAAAGAAACAGTGATTAGAGTGAATTGGCAACCAAAAGAATGGGAAAAAATTTTTGCAATCTACCCATCTGACAAAGGGCTGATATCCAGAATCTACAAAGAACAAAAACAGATTTACAAGAAAAAAACAAACAAGCCCATTCAAAAGTGGGCGAAGGATATGAACAGACACATTACAAAAGAAGACACACATGAGACCAACAAACATGAAAAAATGCTCATCATCACTGGTCATTACAGAAATGCAAATCAAAACTACATTGAGATACCATCTCACACCAGTTAGAATGGTGATCACTAAAAAATCTGGAGACAACAGATGCTGGAGAGGATGTGGAGAAATAGGAACACTTTTGCACTGTTGGTGGGAGTGTTAATTAGTTCAACCATTGTGGAAGACAGTGTGGCAATTCCTCAAGGACCTAGAAATAAAAATTTCATTTGACCCAGCAATTCCATTACTGGGTATATATCCAAAGAATTATAAATCATTCTATTATAAGGACACATGCACACAAATGTTCATTGCAGCACTGTTTACAATAGCAAAGACCTGGAACCAATCCAAATGTCCATCAATGATGGACTGGACAGAAAAAATGTGGCACATATACACCATGGAATACTATGCACCCATAAAAAACAATGAGTTTGTGTCCTTTGTAGGGACATGGATGAACCTGGAAACCATCATTCTCAGCAAACTGACACAGGAACAGAAAATCAAACGCCACATGTTCTCACTCATAGGCAGGAGTTGAACAATGAGAACACATGGTCACAGGGAGGGGAGCATCACACACTCTGGGTCTGTGGGGGGGAAATAGGGGAGGGACAGCGAGGGGTGGGGATTTGGGGAGGGATAACACAGAGAGAAATTCCAGATATAGGTGATGGGGAGGAAGGCAGCAAACCACACTGCCATGTGTGTACCTATGCAACAATCTTACATGTTCTTCACATGTACCCCAAAACGTAAAATGCAATTTTAAAAAATCAGTAAAAAAAAAAAGATTTGTGCTATTCCATACGTGTGCCAACCAGGTCACATACTGACTTGTTTACATCCTCTCCCAGGCCGGAGTCCCCAGGAGTGACCCTGAGGCAGGATTTGAGTGAGTGGTTCTTTTGGAGGTGATCTCAGGAAGCCCAAGTAGAGCAGTGGAGAAGTGAGACAGGGAGATGAAGGGGGTCAATACAGGGTGTACTGATAAGCAATCAGGGCTCAAGTCCTCTGGGGAATTTAGGGAGACAGTATCAGTACTAAACATGCCACAGAGTTATTCCATGGGAGGGGCAAGGGAGCTGGGCACCATATATCTACCATCAGTCATTGATTGAGGGATGCTCCCAAAAGGATTAACTCCTTGGCACTTCTAGCTAGCCCTGCACGTGCCATGCTTTCATGGCCAGAGAAAATTCTCAAGCAGTGGGAGTTGTAGAGCCAAGACATGTGGATAGGGCACCTGTGGCATCTGCTACACAGACCAGCCCATTCACATGCCAACCCATCCATGAACAGCATAGGAGTGTGTCTATCTAACAAGTGCCAGCGTTCCCATGTACTAATGCTTTCATTTAGGCATCAATGTTTTCAGAGGCCAACTCATTCTGGAGGCACCATTAACACACCAATTAGAAAAGCGATCTACGCAGAATCTGGCCATTGGAAATATCTCAGGCCCCAGTGAACACAGGTGTCAATTCTACTCTGTGATGTCCATATATTTTAAGTGATTTTTTCCTGGTGGTAGGTTTCAATTCCCTGCTTCTTATTTTTAGTGTATCTATGTTAGGTTTTGTGATTGCTTTGTGATTACTGTGAGGTTTATAAAAAACATAGTTAAGTTATTTGAATAGATGACAACTTTGGTCACAAAGAAAAGAAAAAAACTAAAAACTCTATACTTTAACTCCATTCACCTATATTCTGACTTTTTATTGTCTTAATTTACATTTTTATATTGCCTATCTCTTAACAAATTGTTCTAGTTATTTATTATTGATTTGCTTTTAGTCTTCATACTAGAGAAATGAGTGGTTTACACACCACAATTACAGTAAAAGAGTATTCTGAATATGTCTGTGTACTTACTTTTACCAGTGAGTTTTGTACTATCGGATGATGTCTTTGTTGCACATTAATGTTATTTTCTTCTTCCAGATTAAAGAACTCCCTTTAGCAATTCTGTAAGACACTTCTGGTGATGATGAATTCCCTCAGCTCATGTTTGAAGGGTAGCTTTGCTGGTTACAGTATTCTCAGTTGACAGGTATTTTTTACCTTCAGCTCTTTGAATATATCATCCTACCCACTCCAGGTCTATATGTTTTCTGCTGAGAAGTCTGTTGTCAGATAAATCAGAGCTCCTTTATATGTTGTTTGCTTCTTTTATCTTGCTGCTTTTAGCATCTTCTCTTTGTCCTTGACCTTTGAGAATCTGATTATTCTATGCTTTGGGGCCATTTTATTTGGGTTAAATCTGTTTGGTGATTCTTGACCTTCCTGTACCTGGCATATTTATATCTTTCTCTAGGCTTGGAAAGGCTACTGTTATTATTTCTTTGAATAAGACTTCTGCCTCCTTGTTCTTTCTCAGTTCCCTCTTCAAAGTCATTACTCCTAGATTTGCTCTTCTGAGGTTATTTTCTAGATTTTGTAGACATTCTTTATTACTTTTCATTGTTTTCTTTTCTCTCCTTCAAATGTATATTTTCAAATAGTCTGTCTTTGAGTTCATTAATTCTTTCTTCTGCTTTATCTGTTCTGTTGTTGAGAGCTTGTGGTGTGTTTTCTAGTTCAGCTAATGTCCTTTTCAGTTCCAAGACTTCTGTTTGATATTTTTAAATTATTTTAATCTCTTTGTTAAATTTCTCTGATAGGTTTCTGAATTGGTTTTCTGTGTTACCTTGGCATTTGTTGTGTTTTCTTAAGACTGCTATTTTGAATTCCTGATGTGAGAGTTCACAGATTACCATCTTGTTTGGGCCAATCACTCACTGGCTCTTTGCTTTGCCCATTTGAAGAAGTCATGGTTCCTGGTGCATGCAGTTTCTTATGGATGTACATGTACGCCTTCATGTTGAATGATTATATATTCCAGTCTTTGCTGCCAGGGTTAGTTTGGTCTCTTTAGGATATGTATGTTTAGATGTTCTGTGCACTTTGCCTATTGGTTCCTTTAGCCCTAGATCACTGACTCCTTTTCAGCACTAAATAGTACCCTAAGCCCAGGTTTGTCATGACTCTTGCAAAAGTTCAAAGCTCTGCCTTGTCACAGATAAAGGGCACCAAAGGGGATTCTCCAGCTGTGTTTGGGGGGGCTGGCTAGGGTTCTTGCCCAGAAGGCCTGTGGAGAGTGCCTCTTTTAATGTGATGCTGCTGAACTACCTCTCTTATTTAGCGTCTTGTTTGTCTGAGTTGACGAACAGTCCCAGAGTTTCATGCACTGGGATGCTAGCCCCACCTCCAATGTCTACCGGACTCCAGAAGCTTTCAGGGGTCCCTTACCCTACAGGTATTCATGATTCTTTCTGTTAATTGAGGCAGGAAAGCTTTCCTGAATAGGTACTCAAGATGATGAGGAAGCTGGATGGCTGCCTTGATCTTACTTTTTTCCAGTGTAGAAATTACGAGTCCGGGGAACTTTTCCACATGGTGACTTACAGTTTGGGGAAGGGGTGTCACGGAGAAGTCCATGTTACTTACCTTTCACTCACTGTTTTTCGCTCTGTGGCCCCAGGGTTTGTCAAAGCCTCAGTTTTGAGTTCTGTGATATTGGCGGTTATTATCTTGGCACTAGATAGTTGTTTTTGGTTTTCTATAAGGGACGGTGAAGCCTAATTGCTTCTACTTTGCCATTTTGGTGACATCCAGCATCTATGTATTTGACAGGGGCTGGGATTGGACTGGTCTTATATGCACTTATGCAGTCATTCAAGAAAAGAGGTTGTTCATATTAGTTCTTTTTCAGGTAACAAAGAACAGCTCAGGAAATTTTTAATTTAACTAAAAGTACAACTTCCAAGAATAAAGGTGTTTTTCCTCATATTTTAAGGAAAGCAGTGACATCCATAAGGTTGCTTCATCTACATGAGGTGGTGCTTTTAAAAAAAGAGGACAGATAAATTCATTGGACTTTGGAGAATGGTAATAGTTTTTTCTCCTAATGTCCTGATACAAAGGGCATTGGCCAAATTTCTGCAGGCCCTCAAGACTGAACTCAGTTCTCATAAGGGATTTGTCTCCAAGACTCAAGGTCTCAGGTGACAGGCTGCAGTGCCACTGATCTAATAACATGACCCTAAAAGACAACACGAGAAAACCAGCTCAGCCAGTGTCTGTCACTTGAGAGATAACGAAACCTTCACTTTTTAACAAGGCAGTAAAACTGCCCTTTTGCAAAGAATAGCATAACATTTTTGTAGATGTCAATCAGCCTGTTTTGCACCAACTTGAAAGCAATGAACACAATCTCCATTCCAACGATGATATAAATGGAGAAGAACAGGAAGAAGTTAGGGTGTTCTAAAACAGTATCCCCAAACCCAATGGTGGTCAGCGTGACAAAGCAGAAATAGAAGGCATTCTCAAAATCCAACTGTGTCTCCCAGAAGGGTAGGATGGCAGCTGCACAGGAAATGTAGGCAAAAACAATCAGGACGACAATGGGGAGGGGGATGTCCAACTTCTCCACTTGCTGTCCGACTTCATCCAGGTTGCTGATGATGGAGTATGAGAGTCTCCCCAGCACCAATTCAGGACATGAGCTACTCCTCTCCATGGTCTGTGGGGGCAGTTGCAGTGTGTTCTGTTTCTCTTGTGCACGAAGTCTCTCAAACAGCTCCATGTGGCAGCTTGGGCGTGAAGGACGTGTGCCAGGTTTGGGGCCTGGAAGCTCTTCAGCATTGATGATGATCTGAGGGACAGCTTCATCTGCGGGCTTGGGGTCTGGTTTTCTCTTGAAGAGAGATTGGGGGCACCACTTGGAGAGAGGACGGGTAAAGAAAGGAGATTTTTGGAACCGATTGTAAGATGTGGATAAGATGGTTGCCAGGATGTCGCCTGTGTCTGTGAGAACGAGGAACATCAGGGGGATACCAAAGAGGGCGTAGAGCATGCACAAGTACTTGCCAAGCCTGGTGACGGGGTAGATGTAGCCATACCCTGAAAGAGAAGATGGAGCTTAGAGTCTTCATTTGGCCCCTTCCCTTTTTCCCCCTGCAAAAGCTTTAAAGAGACCTTCTGCCATTTCTCCTCCTTGGCATGACATTTTACATCATGTTTTTGAAAATACTCATCTCAAAGCCTTCAGCCACTGGCCTGGCATTAGGCCTGCTTTGGTGGGAGGGAAGGGAGTGAAACCAGGCTTCCCTTTAGAATAAGGAACAATTGATATCCAGGTCTTTGACTTGAAATGTCCTTGGCAGGGCACCAGCACAGGTTTGGGGTGAACAGATTGCCTTTTTTTCTGCTCTGGCCATTTCTGAGCATCCCCCAAAGGATGGGCTCAGCTGACCTGGAAGGACAGGATGAGTACAAGTGAGAGAGGATGAACGGCTTCTAATGATATCCGTTGCCACCTTTATCCTCCGTGAAGGTGCTGGCTTTTAAGAAGCCACTCACCCTTGTCCTCCATAAGAGGGCCGGGCTATTTGTTTCTATGTAAGAGACATTTACTGTGTTCCCATGGTGTGCTCAGCAGTGTGCATAGTATTAGGAAAAACAGAAAGAAGGAAGATGAGTAAAATACAATTGCCCTCAGAGCCATTTGTGGCTTAGCAGATTAAACGAACATGTTCCTAAATGACAGTGAAACAATTCGCCTTCTAGCATGTAGGTTCTGACTGACCTTGGTTTGAATCCCGGCTCTGCCATTTGTGATAACATTACTTGACTGCTCACATTTTTGGGATTTTTATCTGTAAGATGGAGATGACAATGCCATCTTACAGATAAAAATCTCTGCATATTGACTAGCTGGGAGGCTTATATGAGGCCCGTGCTTGACACACAGTGTGCAATTGATAAATGGTGGTGTCCTCAAGACCTTAGCTTCCTAGTGAGCGCTTCCTGTGGGCTGGGTATCGGTCAGCCTTCATCGGGAGGTATTGTTGTCACCATTCACAGGTGGGGAAACAACAGCTTGGCCATGAGCATATATGTGATACATAGTAGAGTTGGGAGTCAAATCCATAGGACTCTCAGATCCCCAACCAGTGCTGTCATCCTCAGGAGCATCCAGGGGGCAGGACCCTTCAACCAGAGAGAACCCAAAAGCCAAGCAGAGGAAGGGGTGGGTCGAGGTCTCCATCCCCTTAGGGAGCCCTTCCCCTTCCCTTGCACCTACAGAGGGGCAGGAGCAGAGAGACATCAAACCCCAGAGCACAGGTGGCTGAATATTCTGAGTGGGCAAGCATCAGTGACTTCAACGAGCAGAGGACAAAGCTTTTGCATTTAATGCCTATGTTTAATTTTTAATGTCATAAAGGATGATTAATATAGAAAACCCCAGCCCAATTATGTAAATTAATCTGAAGGCAACTCCTCGACTGGCTAAGCCCCAACTTCCTCCAGGAGTGTAGCTCCCTGTGGCAAACTTTGGCCTCAGGCTCTGCCTTCTAGGAGTAGAGGGTCATTCAGGTTGTCCACCCTCACTAGGGTCCCAAATGGAGGGGAGAGAACTGCAGTTCTCAAAGAGTCTCATCAGTTTACATCCAACCCAGAGCACTCTACACCAATCTGGCTGCTTCCACAAGCACAGCAGTGTTGGTTAACTCTGTATATGCATGATTCATTCATTCAGTATTTATTGAGTACTTACTGCATGCACTGGGGACATAGTGCTAAGAAAAGTAGATATGGGATATGACCTATCTGAGTCTCTGGTTTGGTAAGAGAGGCAGATATTAATTTTTAAAACTACTCTAGTGAGTATATAATTACAAACAGAGATTAATAATGAAGTGAAAGAGCAGACTATTCCGTAAATGATTAGAACAAAGCCACTCATCCTAGGCCAGGTGTGGTGGCTCACATCTGCAATTCCATCATTTTGGGGAGCTGAGGTGGGCAGATCACTTGAGGTCAGGAGTTCAAGACCAGCCTGGCCAACATGGCAAAACCCCATCAATACTAAAAATATAAAAACTGACCAAGTATCATGGTGCATATCTGTAATCCCAGCTACTTGGGAGGCTGAGGCATGAGAATCACTTAAGGAGGCAGAGGTTGCAGTGAGCTGAGATCATGCTACTGTACTCCAGCCTGGGCAACACAGCAAGACTCTGTCAAAAAAAAAAAAGGGTCCCCGTCCTGGATTTAGGCAGGGAAGATTTTCGGGTGAGGTGATTTTTGAGCTGATGTTGGGAGGGGGCCAAGAACTAGCCAGGTGAAGAGAGAGGAAGCAGGCTGTGCAAAGACCCTGTGGCAGGTTCAACAAAGGGCTATCCATAGAGTGTCAGTGGGTACTTGTGTACTGTGTGTACTGCATATATACCAAGGGGGTGATTGGGAGCTGACTGGGTGCAGAAACCTAGCCTCAGTGCACCACCAAGCTCGGAGCTCAGGGCTCGGGGCGCAGGACTGTATCTGCCTAGTGAGGGATGTGGTTTTCTAATTTTTCACGAGGTTGTCACCCTGAATGTAGCTGTCACCTAGGTTTAAGGAACCAAGAGAAGGCCAGTATAGCTACTGTACAGGAAGGTAGGGAAAGGGAGCAAGGTGAGGCCTGGAGGTGGGCAGCATCTAAGGGCTTCCATGGAGGATGGGAGAGTACCTTGATCAGTATGGAAGGTTGAAAAATGACAACCCCAAATAAAGGTAGTCAAATCCTAACTCCCTGAATCTGTCAATGCTACCTTATTTGGAAAGTGTTTCTCTGAGGATCCACTTTGAAGATCTTGAGATGAGGAAGTTATCCTGGATTGTGTGTGCAGCCCTAGGTACCATTATAAGTGTCCTGATAAGGGAGATGCTAAGCAAGATATTTTACACACGGAGAAGGGGAGGCAATATAACCTCAGAGGCAGAGGCTGGAGTGATGCAGCTGCAAGCCAGGGGATGCTGGCAGTCACCAGAAGCTGCCAAGGAAGAGGCAAGGAAGGATCCTTCCCTAGAGCCTCAGAGGGAGCATGGCTCTGCCAACACTTTGATTTGTGAAATCAGTAAAATTGATTTCAAACTTCTGGGCTCCAGATCTTGACAGAATAAATTTCTATTCAAGCCACCGAGTTTGTGGGAATTTATCACAGCAGCCACAGGAAACTAATAAAACCATGTTTGCATCTTTTTTTTTTTTTTTTTTTTAAGATGGAGTCTCGCTCTGTTGCCCAAGCTGGAGTGAAGTGGCGTGATTCAAGGTTTAAGCAATTCTCCTGCCCTAGCCTCCTGAGTAGCTGGGACTACAGGCGCCCACTACCATGCCTGACTAATTTTTGTATTTTTAGTAGAGACAAGGTTTCACCATGTTGGCCAGTCTGTTCTCGAACTCCTGACCTCAAGTAATCTGCCCACTTCAGCCCCCAGAGTGCTGGGATTACAGGAGTGAGCCACCACACCCAATCAGGTTTGCATCTTGAAAAAGATTATCCTGACAGCATCACAGATAGTAAATTGGAGGGCTTCAGATGGGCACAGGAAGATGAGTGGGGAGGCTGTGTTTCCCACCCAGGTGAGAGATGAAGGGGGTTTTGGCCAAGGCGGGAGCTGAGAGGAGAGACCTGTAGAGACTGGTTAGACAATTTTGGCAGAAATCTTAGCAGGGCAGGGGGATTGTTTGGACTGGGGTGTTTGAAAGGAGCTGGGATTTGAGCACAGAGCAGGCACTGTAAATCCACCTGAATCTACTGCTGTCCTTGGCGAAGGTAGATTTAGAGGCTCATAAACAAAGCCTTTTTGGCTGTCTCTGGGTGAGATACTTTTGCAATTCAAAATATGCATTATGTCACATTCCTGAAAATGTTTCAAGGAAGCAAGGTCTCAGCACACAACCCCTACAAAGGGAATGTATTAACTATCCTAGTTACTGAATGCTGAAATGCATAATGGAACTCATATTATTTCTAATAATGCACTCATATATTTTGATACAATCAGCTCACTGCACTTAGCCTGTGAGTACTTAATAGCCCATGCACTTTCCTTTGTAATCCAAGAGCGCTGACCCAGTTGGGAATGACCGTGGATTGACTGGCCTCATACCTGTCAGGTCTCCCGTTCTTAGCACCAAGGCCAGGTGCATTTCAGATGACCCAGAGATGCAGGGCAGGAAGCAGTATTGCCAGAGGGACTTTCAAACACCGTTATTGATTATGGTCAGTGCAGAACATTCCCCAACATCCTCTTCCAGTTGTAATTACTGGGTGGCATGATGTCCTAATTGACTTGTACAATGGGCAGTTGCATTGCCTTCTTAGAATTTAAGCCAAGCTAATGCATTTCCCATTAGATCAGTGACTCCCATTAGGATCACCTGGAGGGCCCTGAAAAATACTGATGCCTGGGCCTGGACTCTAGAGACTCTGACTGCTTGATCTGGGGCAGGGTCCACCCAGGAGCTTGCAAAAGTTCCGAAAGTGACTCTGACATGCAGCCAGGTCACACTACTCAAACATTAGCACACATCAGAGTCACAGGGAGAACTTTCTAAACTACAGATTGCTGGGTCCCACAGCCATAGTTTCTGGCTCAGTAGGTCTAGAATGACACATGAGAATTAATTTGCATTTCTAGCAAGTTCTCAGTGATGTCAATGTTACTCGGGGACCACACTTTGATAACCGTTGCAGTAGATCATTTGTTCTCAACAGGGGGCAATTTTGCCTCCCAAGAGACATTTGGCAATGCCCAGAAACTTTCGTGGCTGCCGTAATGGGCGGGGACAATGGGGAAAGCACTATTGCATCTGGTGGGCGGAAGCCAGAGATGCTGCTCAACAGCCTACATCGCACAGGAGCCTCCACTGCAGAGAATTATCCCCTGCAAATGCTGACAGGGCTGAGGTTGAGAAATCCTGCCTCAGATACATCTAAGATTTTTTGTTTTTTTGTTTGTTGGTTTGTTTTTGAGACAGGCTCTGCCATCCAGGCTGACCCTGTCACCCAGGCTGGAGTGCAGTGGTGTGATCATGGCTCACTGCAGCCTCGACCTCCAGGGCTCAAGTGATGCTCCCACCTCAGCCTTCTGAGTAGCTGGAACTACAGGCACATGTCACCATGCCCAGCTAATTTTTTTGTGTGTGTGTGAAGATGAGGTCTCGTTATATTTTCAGGCTGGTCTCCAACTCTCACCTCAACCTCCCAAAGTGCTGGGATTATAGGCATAAGCCAAGGTGCCTGGACCAATCTAAATTCTTAAGGAAGCGGGGTGTGGTGGCTCACGCCTGTAATCCTAGCATTTTGGGAGGCTGAGGTGGGTGGATCACCTGAGGTCAGGAGTTCAAGACCAGCCTGGCTGACATGGTGAAACCCCGTCTCTCCAAAAAATACAAAAATTAGCCAGGTGTGACGGTGCATGCCTGTAATCCCAGCTACTTGGGATACTGACACAGAACCACTTGAGCCCAGGAGGCAGATGTTGCAGTGAGCCAAGATTGTTCCACTGCACTCCAGCCTGGGCAACAGAGTGAGACTTCATCTCCAAAAACAAAAACAAAAAAAACCCCAAAATATAAAAATTAGCTGGGCGTGATGGTAGGTGCCTGTAATCTCAGCTACTCAGGAGGCTGAGGTGGGAGAATCCCTTGAACCCGGGAGGCAGAGGTTGCAATGAGCTGAGATGGCGCCTTTGCACTCCACCCTGGGCAACAGAGTGAGACTCTGTCTCAAAAAGAAAAAAAAAAATTATTGAGGAAAACAAAAAGACAAAGTAAACCCCATAACTCCCAGCCTCTTTGCAGATCTCCGAGTCTTTCTTGTAGTTGCTGTTCTCCTGGAACTGTTGTTTCCTCAAAACATCCCCTGAGCTATGGGTTCCCCTGGGAAGGTCAGCTTTGAGGTTTGACCTCAGCCCTGCCTGTGACTTGCTCACAGTGATTCACTCTTAGAGTCTGAGCCCACTTGTCTGTGGAATGGAATAGTCACAACACCTACCTTGTGGGGTTGTGGTGAGAATTACACAAGAGAAGGAGCTAGACCCCATGCCCGGCACGGGCTGAGTGGTGTAGTTGCTGTCCTTATTCTTTCTGTCCCTTACCCATCACTGCCTGCACGAGCATTCAGGTGAACCAGGCCGGGCACAGTGGCTCACGCCTCTAATCCAGCATTTTCAGAGGCCGAGGCAGGCAGATCACCTGAGGTCAGGAGTTTGAGGCCAGCCTGGCCAACATGGTGAAACCCCACTCTAGTAAAATATAAAACTAGCCAGGCATGGTGGTGCACGCCTGTAATCCCAGCTGCTCAGTAGGCTGAGACACAAGCATCTCTTGAACCAGGGAAGCAGAGGTTGCCGTGAACCTACATTACACCACTGTACTCCAGCTTGGGTGACAGAGCAAGACTCCATCTCAAATTAAATAATTAAATAAAAGCACTCAGGCGAATGGGTGAAACCATGTGGGGACCGTGAGAGCTTTCCGGGGGCTGTGTGGCCATTTCTGAAGCTGGGTGCAGCAGACACCGGTTGCCCACCCAGCAGCCATGCCCTCCTTTCTTCCCTGCAAAGCCACTGCACCCCTAGCTGATTTAGGAGCAGATCCAATTGGCCTTAGTCACCCTAGTGCTCCAATCGCCGTGCCTGGGACCAGCTTAGAGGAGGGTGGGAGGCTCCCGGGAAGACATCATCGCTGATGATGAACCATGGAGAGAGACGCAGCCCCTTCTATAGAAGACACAGTTATGCTCAGATGGGGTGTGGACCTTGGTGGCCTCTTGTGGCCCAGTGGGCAGAAGGATGGAGAAAACCTGATGCCTAGTGCCACGACTGCATATGGCACTGGGCATGAGCTGCGTGTCAGCCTAGAGCTGTCCTCCCACTGGACTTCTTACTTGCAAGGTGACATTCTCCTTGCAGTTTAAGCCAGGAGAGTTGGGTTTTCTATTAGTAGCCTCTGAGGGGATCCTGGCTGCCACTTACATGTACGTATAGTCGTCAGCTGACCCTAAGAGGCAGGTCTAGGAGGGCTTATGAATCCCAGTACAAGGCTCAGAGGGGTGACATCCCTCGCTGGAGATCACACAGATCTAACCCAGGCTGGCCCTGAACTTTAGCGTGAGGCCCCCAGCCTCTCTCTGCGACCCCTGTGGGCCAGGCCCTCCTAGGGATGGGTACTTCTCTCTTGAAGGAGGAGAGGGGCCACAGTCCCTTTTGCCAGCCAAAAGTGGCAGGGGCTGAGTGATAGGCCACAGTCCTGGTGAGGGCTCTGACCCAAGAGCTTCGGCTGAGGGCACCTCCACCATTTCCACCTCCTGTGACCCCCGTCCCGGCACGGAAGGTTCTTGCCAGGCCTGGTTTGGCCCCTCCAACCTGGCCCCCCTGCTGCCCCACCAGAAAGAAAGCTGGGGATGGGCCAACCAGCTCAGAGTGAGCCCTTAATTGCCAATGGGGCCTTAGTTACTGCTGGCCCAGTGGCATCACGCCCCCAGCCCAGGAGGTCTATTTCCCGCAGCATGCCCCACCAGTCTCCTGACCATCTCTCCCCTCCAGCCACCTTGTCATGTCCTCAAAGGGGCCACTAAACCAGAGTTTTACCCATAAGGGCAGGGAGGCATCTCCCTCCCAGTTTCTATGTGCCAGGTGCACAATAAGTTGTACATGGAGAGAGGCAGCGGGGTGCTAGGTCTAGACCCAAGTGGCTGGGTTCAAACGCACATGCACTGTAGGACTTTTCGAAACTGACGGACCTACTAGAGTGTGGGAACAATAATAGCACCCACCTCGTGGTGAGGCTTAGATGAGCTAATCAGCGTAAAGGACTTAAAACAGGGCCTGACACATCTTCAGTGCAAAAATGTCAGCCAGTGCAGCTGCTGCTGTTTGCAGGCGTGCAATATAGATTTGAGGAAAGGAGGAAGAGAGGAAAGGAGGGAGGGAGGGAGAGAAGGGCCATCTCCACACCCCAATTCCAGTGTCCTTTGCCACCCGGAAGCCCACCCTTCCCGGGGCCACTGCGGGGGAACTGCGGCTTTGCACTTACCCACGGTGCTGAACACGGTGCAGCAGAAAAAGAGCGAGCTCAGGAAGGACCAGTCTGTGGTCCTGTTAAACCACTGAGGCTTCACCTTCTGCAGATGCCCCTGGAGGTCCTGTTTCCTGTCTTCCACCACTGGAGAAAGACATGACCAAGAGTTTGGGGGAAAGGTTCTGCTCATCAAGACAAGCCCCGCCCAGGTGAAAGGGATAGTCTTCCCCAAGGACCAGCAGCGCCCTCGCCTTGTGGTTAGTATCAACATCAAAGCCTGGTGATCGGAGTCCTCCTTTAAAATATTTCTTTCTTTTTTTTTTTTTTTTTTTTTTTTTTTGCGATAGAGTCTCGCTTTGTCACCCAGACTGGAGTATGGTGGCGCGATCTCAGCTCACTGCAACCTCCACCTCCCAGGTTCAGGCAGTTTTCAGCCTCAGCCTCCCAAGTAACTGGGATTACAGATGCCTGCCACCATGCCCAGCTAATTTTTGTATTTTTAGTAGAAACGGGGTTTCACCATCTTGGCCAGGCTGGTCTTGAAATCCTGACCTCATGATCCACTCGCCGTGGCCTCCCAAAGTGCTGGAATTTCAGGCGTGAGCCACCACGCCCAGCCCTTTTAAAATATTTCTGCATCCTGGGTCCTGCCTGTGGTCCCCATGGAGATAAAGAGGCCACAGGGCCCTGGGAGGACAGCACTAACAGAAAGTCCCCTGGGGGCCCCATCAGAGCTTAGTCCTGGCTTTGCTGTGCAGCCTTCGCTTTTTAACTTTCTGAACCTCCATTTCTTTCATCTCTCAAAGGAAGACAACTTCTGCTCTGCCTCTCACACAGGGTTTTCAAGCACTAAAAGCAAAAGGCTTTCAGGAAAAGCAAGCTGTTACCCAGATGCAAATCATACCCACTCCTGGAGGCCATTGCGCTTGATGGAGTTTGCCTGGCGCTGTGACTCACACCTGTAGTTCCAGCACTTCGGGAGGCTGAGGAGGGCGGATCATTTGAGCTCAGGAGTTCAAGACCAGCCTGGCCAACATGGTGAGGCCCTGTCTCTACTAAAAATACAAAAATTAGCCAGGCATGGTGGCGCACGCCTTTGGTCCCAGCAACTCGGGAGGCTGAGGCGGGAGAATCACTTGAACCTGAGGAGTGGAGGTTGCAGTAAGCTAAGATCATGCCACTGCATTTCAGCCTGGGCAACAGAGTGAGTATCGTCTAAAAAATAAAAATTAAAAAAGCTTGATGGAATTTGATAACCATATTATCATGCTGTGGTCTGTGGACACCAGCTGACAGTGAGTGTCTCCTCCAGGGCTGGGAAACTTGACTTCCTAAACATTGTTTCCCAGGTCCAACAGAGCAGGGTCGGGAACCCTGGTTTCCCAGAGGGGTTCCCAAATGGCTCAGTTGGCCTGGGCAGCCAGTGGGCTTTGGGACCCCCAAGGCCCCTGTTGGACTCTAGTTTGGCCTGAAGGGAACAGCACTGAGCCTGGCATCCAGCAGGAAATCGCTACTCATTTTAACTGGCACCAGCCTGGGAGGCTACACACCTGAATTCCAGACCCAGCTCTGACCCTGACACGTTCTGTAACTGTGGACAAGATGCTGCTTTCCGAGCCTCAGTTTCCCCATCAGAGGGACAGCATGAGATTGTGGTGAAAGGTTCAGGCTCTGGAATCCAAATACATGGGGTTAAATCCTTGGCTCCATTTGTCTAGTTTGCAAACTTGGACAAATTGTTTAACTTTCCGAGGCCTCAATTTCCTAATCTGTAAGAAAGAGACAACTTCTACCCAACATACAGGGTTCTTGTGAGGATTAGGGAAGATACTGTGTGAAGTGTTTGCCGCAGGGTCTACATGTGACTAACCCTATGGAACATTTTAATCTCCAGTGACAATCCGTACAAAATGGAGTGGGACCAGCTCTGTGTTCCCATACCCTGCTGTGCATTGGAATCACCTGAGGAACTTTATTTGTATTTATTTATTTGTTTATTTTTGAGACATGTCTGGTTCTGTCATCCAGGCTGGAGTGCAGTGGCACAATCACAGCTCACTGTAGCCTCAAACTCCTAGGCTCAAGCGATCCTCCTGCCTCAGCCTCCCAAGTAGCTGGGATTACCAGTGTATGCCACCTCATCAGGCTAAATTTTAAAATCTTTTGTAGAGACAGGGTCTCACCTTGTTGCCCAGGCCTAGTCTCAAACTCCTGGCATCACATGATTCTTCCACTTTGGCCTCCCAAACTGCGAGGACTATGGGCGTGAGCCACCATGCTTGGCCTTATCCTGCAAACTTTAAAAATAAGATTCTCAGCCCAGCCCTGGAGATCCTGATTAAGCGCGTTTGGAGAAGAGCCTGGGAATGTGTACTCTAGGCAGTCTCCCTGTGATTCTGATGTGTCTCTGGCTTGGAGAGCCTTGAACTTGCTGATAGTCTAGACCCTAGGATGGCGCAGTGTCCATTTGGCAGCAATCTTCCAGATCCACAGAGCAGGCTGGCATCAGTCTGGCAAGGATGCAGGGAGTGGGACCGTCCACAGACAGGAGACTGCCTCCCTGGACCAGCCTCTTGCCTCTGAGAGCTGCAACTGTTCCCAAAGCAAGGTCGGCACTGTGGGAGGAGCCCCCATACGGGAGTGGGAGGGGAGGAGCTCCCCGCACCCTGCTCTTCTCCTAATTTTTAGAATCTGGTTTCTCTTTGTCTTTTATTTATCTACTCTCCCTTGTTTTATCTTGCTCTGTTGACTACAATAACAAACTTCCTTTGCGGAACAGAGCAGGGTAGAAACAAGTAACTAAATATAAATAAAACGCAATGAGGACACTATTAAGTGCCTTCTGTCTTCCAAGATCCTGAGTGTTCCTGGTCTCCTCTGCTTCTCACAGGGTCCCTGTGACCGTCAGGCCTGAGATTGGGGTCCCTTTCTCTCCTGCAGACTGAGACCCAAAGAGAACAAAGCTTTGCCTCCATGGATCGCAGAGCAAGCTGGGAGAGCAGCTGGGACAAGAGCCAGGATCTGCCCCCACCTCCCCCAGGTCTTCTCACAGCACCTCCCCACTCTCCTGAGCCAGGCAGCAGAAAGGCGTTTGGAAGAGGAAGTGGGGCTGTGGGGGGCCAGTGCTTCTGCTGGGATTCAAACCCAATTTGGGTTGTTCCCTAAATTCTCATCCCTGCAAACTGCATCCTGGGTCAGGCAGACATAGTTCTGAGAACCAACCTAGCCCCGCAACCCCAGCCCTGGATTTGCTCACCCATGCACCCCACCCCACCCAATCCCTGGGAATCCATCCTCCCCTGAGCCTGCTGGTCCGGATGGGGGTGGGAGCAGAGGCACAGGAAGGGGAGCTGGTCTTTCCCCAGCACCTCCTGGGTGCTCAGGGCTTTTCCTGCATTCTTCACAGCAACCCCAAGAGGAGGCTAGTCTCCCTACACTTCAGAGAAGAAAATGGAGGCTCAGAAAGAAGTTACTCACCTAAAGTGCCCAGGCATGAGGAGGATACAGGCAGGCAGCTCCCAGGCCCAGCCTCCTGGAAGGCAGCCTTCTGCTTTCAGAGGACTGCTGCCACCACAGAGAAAAGGCCCGCCCTGTCCAGGTGAGGCACCTACCTGTTTTGCTGCAGTTCAAGATTCTGCAGAGCTCCTCCAAGAACTCCTCAAACTCTCCATCATCTGCTGCCAGCAGGACCTGGCCGTCCTCAATGGCAGAGAAGAGCACAGCACCCACCAGGGCGTAGGTCACCAGAAAGCAGAGGAAGCAAAAGCCAGGGAATAGCTTTCCCAGGGCCTCTGGGCAGCATCTCCTGGCCTGGGGGTGCCCGGAGGCCTCCATCCTCCCTGAAGCATGCAGGGCAGGAGGAGCTGGTGGAAGAGGCAGGAGCATCTAAGCCCCGCCAGGAAGACGGGGTAGGAGTGCCCGGAGAACAGACAGGCTCCAGCGCTAAGTGGATGGTGTGTGTGCTTCCCCAAGGACTCGGGAAGCAGCCGGCAACTCATCATGTTCAGTTCATCTGAACTACTCAGATGGCGCCCTCCCTAGCACCCCAGATTGCTATTGATCTGCTGGGCCAGCCCTGGAGCTGTCTGGCAGGGGCTTTGGGAGGATAGTGTGGTGGTTGCTTTGTGCTACATTTGATCTTTTCTATCCCCAAACTGCAGTTTTGAATTGCAGATCCCAAACCTGATCTTAGGTGTTTCCTCAAGTGATTGTCCTTCCTGAGAGCTGTCTGTGACACCACTTGGCTTAGGGGACCTGGTCTCCTGAACAGATGGTAGTAATAGTAACTAATAATGATAATAGTAACCATAGTAACTAATGTGGCCAGAGCGCAACCATTTCCAAAGGACCTTTATCCTGTGTGGATCTAATTATTCGTCCCAATTCTTCACTCCCCTGCTGCATACCCACCCTTGCCATGGCCTCATGGTGGGCAGAGTGTACTTTCTTGAACTCGGCATTAGGGTGGGCCATCTCACTTGCTCCAGCCAGCTGGGTGTCAGCAGATGTGATGCAAGCAGGGGCTGGGCCTGTGCTTGTACGTTTGGCCTTGCTCAGCTGTGCCTGTGTCTGCCATGTGAAAAAGTGCCCAGCTTTCAGTTTTTAGCTGGGAGTAGGCCAGTGTGCAACTTTCTTTGTTCGTCCTGAATCCAGATTCATCCAACACCATCTACCTCCACCATGCCACCTAAGTTTGACCCCAAAAAGATTAAAGTCCAAAGAGCACTGGAAATTATGTTGGTGCCACATCTGTGCTGGCCCCGAAGATCAACCCCCATGTCTGTCTCCAAAACACATAGGTAACGACACTGCCAGGGCAACCGGTGACTTGAAGGATCTGAGGATTACAGTGAAACTGACCATTCAGAACAGACAGGTGCAGATTGAGGTAGTACCTTCTGCCTCTGCCCTGATCATCAAAGCCCTCAAGGAACCTCCAGGAGACAGAAAGAAACAGAAAAACATTAAACACGATGGAAATATCACCTGATGAGAATGTCAACATTGCTTGACAGATGCAGCACCGATCTTTAGTTAGGGAACTCTCTGGAACAATTAAAGAGACCCTGGGGACGGCACCATCTGTGGGCTACAGTGTTGATGGCCACCGCCCTCATGACATCAGCAGTGGTACAGTGGAATGCCCAGCTTGTTAAGAAGCACAAAGGAAAATATTTCAATAAAGGATCATTTGACAACCAGTGGGGGTAAAAAGTGCCCCAGATGGCAGCTGTGGAGATGCATGCAGGTTCAGATCCCTCTTCCAGAAAGGACTTGCTGTGCAGCTTTGACGAGCATGGTTCATGACAGCCCTTTTTGTTCTTTGAGGGGTTGCCACTGCTGTCAAGGCCTCTTCTTGGGGAAGCCTGGGCCCAGTGACTAAGCAAGGTGGGGACCCAGGAGCCTATTCATTTCCGCCCAATACAGGACTCCTCCAACCTGCAATCTTTGTTCCAGAGTGTCCCGTTGGTCTTCAGAGAGACTTTGTCAGGTCTGCGTTATGATCCGGCTCTCCCTGTCCCATCTGCTTCCTTCGTTTTCCTTTTACAAATCTTATTTCCCAATAAAGCTTTTGCAATAGTGACTCTGTCTTGGTGTCTGCTTCTCTGAGGATCCAGCAATAGTTGGCCCCAGAAGTGGTCTGAAAAAGCCTGCTCAAAAAGCTAAGATGGGGGCTAGGCACAGTGGCTCGCACCTGTAATCCCAGCACTTTGGGAGGCCAAGGGGAGTGGATTGTTTGAGGCCAGGAGCTCGAGACCAGCCTGGCCAACATGGCAAAACCCCATCTCTACTAAAAATTAGCCAAGCATGGTGGTGCACACCTGTAATCCCAGCTATGTTGGGAGGCTGAGGCACAAGAATTGCTTTAACCTGGGAGGCAGAGGTTGAAATGAGCTGAGATCATGCCACTGCACTCCAGCCTGAACAACAGATTGAGACTCTGTCTAAAAAAAACAAGAAAGCTAAGATGGAGTTTGAGGACGGGGTCCCTCCATACACAAGTGGTAAGGAGATGGTGTACAGGCAGCCTTTAGTACAAAGTGGCTGCCCAACTGCTAAACTTTTCACCAGCAGTGAGCTGGGATGGTGTGTTGACTAGTACAGTGACTCAGGCATTCGAAACATATTGGAGGTATGATAAACACAAGACCAATGAGTTTGGATGGCTATTATAAAATTGCATCGATCCCCCTGCAGGCAAGCTTAGAAGAAGGAGGTTAGTAAAACAAACAGCCCCCGTTACTTCCTCCAGTCTCAGGGCTGCAATTGACACTCATCATCTCCTTCCTTCACTATCCATTCTATCTTTCCCTTGCCCTCTGCTACCTCTTCTGCTGGTCTCTGTGGCTTACCCAGTGGTGTGACCCTAATCCTCATTCCTTGGAGTGGGGTTGGAGTCTGAGCCCTTGGTAACCATATCCTTCCTTTCCAGGTTGGGGCTGCTTGTGCTTGTTCACTCACAGACATAGTTGGGTAAGAAGTACCAAGAGGTACCCAACCGAGTCACCTGAGCTCCACCCATATTATTCTCTGTCCTCATTGTGTAAAAGCAGCCCTGCCTCCTTCTGCTGACCAAGTCAATTGCCCCTATATTAGTCCATTCTCATGTTGCTGCAAGGATACTACCGAAGACTGGGTCATTTATAAAGGAAAGAGGTTTAATTGACTCACAGTTCAGCATGGCAGGGGAGGCCTTGGGAAACTCACAATCATGGCAGAAGGGGAAGCAAACACGTCCTTCTTCACAGGGTGGCAGGAAAGAGAATGAATGAGTGCCCAACAAAGGGGAAAGCCCCCTATAAAACCATCAGATCTTGTAAGAAATCACTATCATGAGAACAAGATAGGGGAAACCACCCCCATGATTCAATTGTCTCCACCTGGTCCCTCCCATGACATGTGGGGATTATGGGAATTACAATTCAAAATGAGATTTGGGTGGGAACACAACCAAAACATAGCCCCTAACAAGATAGCCACCCATTGTCTTATCTGCTGGTTCCTGGACACAAGGATCCCAAGGTGCCCAGGGAGCAGTCATAAGGTGCATTCAGTGGGTCCCTCGCTGGGTTTCCAGGTGAGTGTGTCCCCTTTGTGGACCAGTAATTCTAACGCTTGCAGACCCTAGAGTTCTGGGGAGGGAAAACAGTGAAGAAGATATGGAGTTGTATAATTTTCCATTTGAAATAGAAGCGGCAAATGCTTCATTGCTTATACACTGCCCTGAAGAAAGAGAAGGCAAGATCTCCAAACCTTGAGCAAACCAATACCTTGCACATCCCACTACCACCCTCCATCTATATCCAGCGTCCTAGATGAGTCAAGTGTAAAAATTATTTGCCTAGCCCTGGATGGCCAAGGTTTTCTGCTATCTTCTTCTCAAGAGTTGTTTGTTTGTTTTTGACTGAGTTTCATTCTTGTCACCCAAGCTGGGGAGCAATGGTGCGATCTCGTCTCACTGCAACCTCCATCTCCTGGGTTCAAGCAACTCTCCTGCCTCAGCCTCCAGAGTAGCTGGGATCACAGGTGTGCATCACCACACCCAGCTAATTTTTGTATTAGTAGAGACGGACTTTCACCACGTTGGCCAGGCTGGTCTCAAATGCCTGACCTCAGGTGATCCACCTGCCTTGGCCTCCCAAAGTGCTGGGCTTACAGGCGTGAGCCACCACACCTGGCCCTTCTTCTCAAAAGTTTTATAATTTTATGTTTTGCATTTCAGTCAGTGATCCATTCTGAGTTAATTTCTGGTAAGGTATGAGATCAAGTTTCACTTTTTTACCTACGGATGTTCAATTGCTCCGGCTTCATTTGTTCAGAAGGTTATCTTCACTCCATTGAATTGGTTTCTCACTTTTATGAAAAACCTGTTGAACATATTTGTGTGGGTCTATTTCTGGGTTTTCTCTTCTGTTCCATTGACCTCTGCAACAATAGCACATAGCCCTTCACCAATAACACAGTTTCTAATCCCTGTAGCTGTGTAGCAGGACTTAATGTCACATAGAGTGATTTCTCCTGCCTTATTCTCTTTTCAAGATTCTTTATAGCTTTTTAAAGACTTTTCCATATAAATTTAAAAATAGTCTTATCTATGTATACACAAAACCTTGCTGAGGGGTGCGGTGGCTCAAGCCTGTAATCCCAGCACTTTGGGAGGCCGAGGCGGGTGGATCACGAGGTTAAGAGATCAAGACCATCCTGATCAACATGGTGAAACCCCGTCTCTACTAAAAATACAAAAAAAAAAAAAAATCTATTGATGAATGTGGGCAGACTCAACATCTTTACTATGTTGACTATTTCAAGCCATAAATATGGTGTATCTTTCCTGTCCGTTACTTTTGAACAACAGCTTAGTGTGCTCCATGATTCTTTATTCAAGGCAAGAATTAATTTTTAGGGCCAGGTACAGTGGCTCATGCCTGTAATTCCAGCACTTTGGGAGGCCAACTCAGGCAGATTGCTTGAGGCCAGTAGCTAGAGACCAGCCTGACCAACATGGTAAAACCCCGTCTTCACTAAGAATACAAAGACATTAGCTACCAAAAGTACCACAATTGGCGCCACACACCTGTGATCCCAGCTACTGGGAAAGCTAAGGCGTGAAAATCATTTGAACCTGGGAGAGGTTTCTCTGAGCCGATACCGTGCCAACTGCCCTCCAGCCTGGTTGAGAGAGTGAGACTTTGTCTTAAAAAAAAATTAATGTTTAAATATAAGAATGAGCAATTCAAGTTATTTGTTACTTTTTAGGTAATGCATTCTAAGTGCTATTTAATGCATGCAAGGTCAGTGTTAATGGATAAAAGTGTTAGATGGTGACAGTCTGA